CCCTGAAAGCTCTGGAGGGCTTAAACTGGCCCTATGAGCAAATTGGAAGTTCATTTCTGAAATTCCGGTTTGCCCGAAGGGCTGGTATTTTATGCTCCGGAGGCTTCAGGGAAGTTCCTGAAGTCTCCGGAGGGCCTCTGTGGGTGCGGGGAGGCTGTTTTCGCCCTCCCTAGGTTCCCCCCTCCTGGGGAGGGCGGAAAATGGCTTTAAAAAAAGGCTGAATTCAGCTGGTCAGTGCAGCACGCGCATGTGTGCTGGCCAGCTGACAGGGCAACATCTTGCGTGTCCCTGAGAAATGGCTCCGTGTGCCACCCGGTTCTAGACAATAGTTCCCATGCCAGTGCTGATGAAAGATCGGATAATTATGGTAACTAGAGATCAATACATCTGAACACTTAAAAACACTTAAAAAGGTAGAAAGCTTTAAGAGTAGTGTTATTTATGTAGTGTTGTCTATTTTTCTGTTAGGTCAAGATTTATAATTTACAGATATTAAAAATACTTCACAAATTGGCATCTGTGTTTATTCTAAAGTGTGATTGATGCTTTCAGATTTCTCTTTACAACCACACCAAAGTTTGAGAGGAGACAAAGAAATGCGCCATGTTAAAGTTTGCTGAAATTTCTCTTCTGTGAAATTTCTAGTAGTAATTACAAAAATGTTTAGTAAAATAGAGACTTTTTAAAATAAAAATAACACACACAAAAAATATAAATCAGATGCTCCTTTACCTGGTCTCTTCTTTTTTATTAATAACCTTATTTCCAAAAATGATAATTCTTTCAGGATATTACACTTTAAACAAACATGTCATGTCTAATTATTAATACATATGCATATTTACATTTACAACTTGATAAACTTTGGTTTTTCATATGTAAGTCATATAATTGTTTAGTGTTACTTTTGTATTGCTACACAGTTTGGCATATTTATTATACAACTACGATTTGTACTTGGCAGAGCAATTATTTTCTTGTCAGTAGAACCTATATTTATCTGGATAGCCAAGTTTTTAGCCAAGTTAAAAAATGGATACATTGTAGTAATTATGTTGAAAGTTTTATCAGATGTGTACATGGATTATAGTTATCCACTATGCTAAACTGGTGGTTGCATTTTTGTGCTGCTTAATTAATAGTCCTCACACAAATGAAAATACAGCAAGAGATATTCATCTCCAAAATGAAAATAAAATGTTCAGTTTCACCTTTGCTCTAATATGTCACAGAAAAATATTATAATTTTACTCATGGGAATAATAAATTTTTAGACAGAATCCCATGTATATAGAAACAGCAGGTCAAAAAAAATTGATAATATTTTTGTTGCAATCATTTATGTTAATCCCACTTAATTTAAGGTACTTATGTAAAGATGGACATCATAATTGTGACAAATGATTTCTGCAATCGATTTTTAAAGCACAAGTCATGACCATGTTATGTAGCATTGCTAGGCAAATAATAAGCACCATCAGCTTCATCAGTGCCTTCATGCCTCAATGAAAAATATAAATCATACTACAGCTAAAGGGAAATTATGTAGATTTTTAAAAATGTATTTATTAGACTCAGCAGATTGAGAAGAAGTAACCATAGTTTTTGGTTTATTTAAAAGAACAATAGCAAAATATAATACAGCTTTGAAATTCTTACTTTAAGCTGGCAAAGTTTTCTAGTTTCAGATATATTGGAATTGTTCTGGAAGACACTGTTCACACGCTTCAGCACACATACATTTTCTGGAGCCATTTATCATGCACAAGTGAAAGACTTTGGGTAAAATTAAGTTGGCTCTCAGACAGAGTCTTACCTATTTCCATTTTGTTTCTAAAAATAGGAAACTTATTTTTTGTTAAGTAATATTAATAAATATTAATAAAATCTCAAAATCTCAAAAAAAAATATGGGAATTCATTCTCAGATAGAAGCAATTTGCTAATTAAAGTGCAATAAAATGTGTGCATTAGAATTTGAAAGAGCATCAGACATGTTCTCCACCTTTTGTTGATTGTGTAACTAAATATACTTTCTAAAATCCTATATATTGCAGTCTCATAGTTTCTATTATAGAAACAAATTCTCAATCTATGTACAGGTAGTCCTTGAGTTACAACCATTTGTTTAGTAACTGTTAGAAATTACAACGGCACTGAAAAAAAGTGACTTTTGACCATTTTAATACTTACAATCATCACAGCAGCTCTGTAGTCACGTGGTCAAAATTCAGACGCTTGGCAGTTGGCATGTATTTATGATGGTTACAGTGTCCTGGGGTCATGTGATCATCTTTTGTGAGCTTCTGACAAGCAAAGTCAATAGAGAAGGCAGATTCACTCAACAATGATATCAATATCTTAACAACTACTGTGATTCACTTAACAATTGTGGCAAGAAAGGAGCAATAGTGGAGCAAAACTCACTTATCAGCTGTCTTGCTTAGCAATGGAAATTTTTGGATCAATTGTGGTTGTACATCGAGGACTACTTGTAGTACAGTTCAATTAGCTGTTGCTGAAATTGTACTTGTGACAGGTTAAAAAAACCTGTATTTTCTGTAAATGCCACAGAAGAGTAAATTGTCAAAATGTCTTCCACATTTTGTGACTGAGCATCATTGCTAAAGATTGATAGAATGTGATTAGAAACATCGTCACATTCTAAATAATGCTGAACCAAGTAACCAACTTTGTAACTTGCTTCAACAGGGTTATTTGAGGTCATTTTAGTTTAATGCTAGTTTTAAAGTGTAGTAATGACAGATTAAAAGGTTAAATTCAGCCTATTGTTAATCTCTTGCATAATAAATTGTAAACACTATCTCTACACAAAAAGATGAAAAAATGTCATTTTTTCCATTTCTTAAAGCAAGCAAAAAGAACATTTCTATTGGTAGATATTTTATCTTACTCAAGCCAGACGTTTCATTTTGACAGCAGTATCTCTTATAACAGCTTCCAGCATACCCGATCACGATCAAAAAAGCTTAAAACTCCTGAAGACAAGAAGCCATCAACCATAGAGGTTGGTACAGAAATCACAGCTACTGAAGCAGCTACAGATTGCTTCAAGGTCAAAGACAAACCATCACAAAAAGTAAAGCCAGGAGACACAGGAGTGCCTTCTGGGGAAGAACAAGTCTCAAGCAGGATGCACATAGATCAAAATTTATTGGATAACAAAAAGATACTGGGTGAGATAAATGGTATTTATTTTCCATATAACTTGCAGATTGTTGATATTGTGATCCTATAAATCTGCAAATGAGAATTTATACCCTATTCTGTTCTGTCCATTATGCTTCTTTATTTCTGCAGTGATATTACATAATCATCATCATTTATGTTATGCTTAGTACCTTTGTAATATTTGTCAATTATAAAAAATAATAAAACATTGTCCCAATAAAGCAATAATAATTCAGAACTGAACGCTTGCTAAGTGTTCTTAAATTTCAGCTTTATCTCATGATTTCCTAACAGCTCAGGAGTTGACAATAATGTGGAAGATAATAACTACTAATATATAAAATATCTTTAGGAAAGGATTTAATTGCAAAAAGGGCCTTCAAATAAAGTACCTATATACCTTATAATGTATAGTTTTTCACAATGTTCCATATGAGCATATTTTTACATGGCAGAAAACTATTGGAATTACAGGCTGGTTTCTCTTAGTAAGTAGAAAGCTCCTTCCTCACTTATATTACTATTTAAGATGTAATGTCTTGTTCTGTAACTATTTACTAAGGTTTAAAATTGAAGTGTGCTAAGGTAATGAAATAGTTTAAAAACATAGAGTTGGATTTAGAACTTCCTTCCTTGAAAGTTGAAAAGTCTAATTTTGTTCATGGAAGACTGAGAATCTAACTTGGCATTTTTAATATTATAATGGAAGATGTAATCTTCATTGAGTCTCTCCTTGCTAGAATACTAATATTTCCAAACAATTTGATAAAATGGTTAGAGAGACTGTTCATAACAGTGGGCAAAATATATTGTGGACGGTAAAAGAAGTGATACTAGAAAACATGTTTTTATTTATAATATTAATTATGAAAATGTGTTTTCATTACAGTATACTATTCAGTACAGGATGCATTTTTTTTGCCTGTAGAATGACCCTACTTCCAATAAATAAATACCAAAAAATATTTTGGTTAACAAATTCATTTCTCCAAAATTTAACAAAAAAGAAACAACTTTATTCAATTTTAATCTAAATGTTTAAAAAGACCAGTTATTTCTCAACTGTTAAAAATATTTGCTGTTGAAATCAATTACCGTATTTTTCGGAGTATAAGACATATCTTTCCCACCCCCAAAAGAGCATGGAAATGTTGTTGCATCTTATACACCAAATACAGCCATTTTTTTGCCTCCTGAAGCTCCGCCCCCACATCCTATTTTTGTGAAAAGTGGGTGAAAAATGAGCCAATTTTTGCAAAAATGGTGGCGGTTTTGCCTTCCCCCATCCCCCAGAAGCATTCTGCAGGCTTCAGCAGGGCTGGGGGAAGGGAAAAATGCCCCCACTTTGGTGAAAAACAATCCATTTTTTAAAAAAAAATGGAGGTGTTTTTCCTTTCCCCCAGCCCTGCTGAAGCCTGCAGAATGCTCCTGGGGGCAGTGGAGGACAAAAACTTTTTTTTCTTACATCTTCGAAATCCTGGTGCGTCTTATACACTGGTGCGTCTTATAGTCTGAAAAATATGGTAATTATCTGTCACTAAACTCAAAATGTTTGCAGATATGTTTTCTGTATAATAATGAAATGAATAAGAACTGTTAGTATCTATTTTGTATTGATGATGAATTTTATTTAGGTCATTCCCCTTCAAGCTCACAACTTGATCAAGTTCCTGAAATGCATAATATAGAATCAGAAAAGGAAGAGAAAGAAGTCTCTGACCTTGCACGTAGTTTTTCTGAAGAATCTAAAGTGGCTTTGCTTTCATATCCTGACTGCAATCAAGATGTTTTAAAAACTTCAAATATTTCAAGGCAAACTTCTGAGAATGCTGCTTCTGAAATGGAGAACTTTGAGAAAGAAGAAATTAATAGTGTATCCACAGAAGAGGATGAGATTAGTGATGCTGAAAGCAATAAAAGTGGTCTGGAACCTGGGGAAATATCAACGGTAAGAATTAGGAAATATATGAGAATATGAGAGAAAACCTAGTATTTAGTTAGAAACAATAATAAAATTCCCCAATTGGTTTCTAACATTTTTCTATTAGAATAAGGCATATATCCTTTTATAAATTGTTTTAAGATACATTAATAATGCTTGCAACAACTGCATGTAGATCGGCATTATGTTGCAATTATGAGCTACGTGTAAGAGCGAGATAATGGAATAACCTGTGGCTATAGTTTTGTATATTTGTGTATGGTTATGGCAAGGATTTGAACTAGTGCCTTCATAATTGTTTATAGCATATTCGTTTCTATTAAGTATTCATTTTCTTTCTGCATTTGAATGAGACTTCAAGAGATAATAACTTGGGACTAGATTTGCTTTTGGCACTTGCAGAGTTTGGATTGCCTGGATTCCTGAGAAAGTGGTAGGTATATTTTAAACCCAAGAATAAGGCAGGTTTTTTTTCTTTTACCAACATAATGAACTCCTTTTTCTTTTATTAAAAGATGAGATTTAACAATCCCAAACCCAGTTCTTCTGTCTTAATATAATGTGCTAATAAACATCTCCTCAATAGTGAGATTTTGCATTTCAATTTACATTTAATTCATGTGCTTGGGTACTTTTTGTTATTCCTAAGTGGGTTTCTGAATATTTTCTAATAAGTTTGTCTACTGTGTCTGTCTACCAAGGAATTTATACAAATATAATTCAAATACCTGCACAAATAACTTGCCTTGTTTTGTGACTCCACTATATTCTTTAATCATAAGACCAGTTGTGTAATGCATTAAGCTAACAACTCTTTAGAGTAGCATACAAACTTGGCTATCTCAGTACCTTATGACTGTAAGTTACTAATAGATTATATTCTGGTGTCTATCAAGTGCTTTCTGGAAAAAACAACATGAATCATCACATGACTACCTTTTGGATGCTAGGCAGGACTGTATTTACAGTGTCCCACAATCACATGATCACAATTTATGATTTTTGGGGGGAAACCAGCATTTACTTTTGATTTCCACCAAAAAATGTCTTAAAGTAAACAATTAGTTTTCTTAATAACCATGGTATTCCTTTAACAATGGTGGCATTTGCTTTATGAGAACTATGTTTGCTTATCTACTATCATAAAAAGATCATCAAATCAGATGCAGTCATGTGATGACCCGCTTTATAATTGTCATGACACGACCATAATCATGGGCTCAATTATGCTTGTAAATCAAGGACTACCTGTGTTGCTACTATCAAGATTAAAATGAGAGAATATTTACTTCTTCTCTGAAAAAGTAGTGTGTTTTCAGATGTTGCTGAAATTCTAACAGTGGATGCTAACGATATAGAATAGCCTCAATTAAAAGAATATGAATTCCCATTCCTGTACCCCATCTTAATTATGAATGAGCAGATCATAATATCTTAGAGAAATTTTAAATATCCACTATCACAAATAATGCTGCTCAATGTGAGGTGTGAGGTAATTTTCTAGCTGACACCATACTAGAAATTGTATTTTTAAATGCTCTCTTTACTAGAATGATACATTCTAAATTTATTTCCAAGTGTTCCCAATCCTTTTTCCACTTTGTGATGGCAAGTTATTTCTATTTTTTTTCTTGAAGACTACTAAACTAAATTAAATTGGCATTGCAATTGGAAGATATGTGCTGTCTTCTAACCATGATACCAATACCATGATTTTTCTTTTCCATCATATTGTATCAGTGGTGGGATACGACCGATATGCCCCGGTATGAGTGTACCGGTGCCTGCTGGGAGCACCAGGTACCATTCTGGTATGGTGCTCCGGAGGGCACACCAGCAGCTGTACACATGCACATGGTGGGTGCCCGGCCCCATTGCAGCGTACTGGTTGCAATGGGATTGAGAACCCACCACTGTATTGTATGTATGATCAAAACTGAGGTAACCTTTTGCACCTGGTCATGAGCATTCTCCAAAAATATCCATCATGAAAGCAAGATATTGTATAAGACATTGCATAATTTCTCTTCTCTCATCTTAAACACAGTATATGTTTTCTTTCTTAGATATTTGAAGGAGAAAAAAGCAAAACATCAAAAAGTTGGCGTCATCCGCTAAATAAACCTCCTGCCAGATCTCCTATGACGTTGGTTAAACAGCAGGCAATAAGTGACGAAGGTGAGCATATTTTAAAAACACCATGTAATAATATATTTTCCAATCAAATAATATGCATACATTTTAAATGTTACTTAGTGATAAAGTGATGTAGATGAAAAGGTATTTAATCTCATGCCAAAAATTCAATAATTGTAGAATGAACTGCATTAAATGTTTTTGGCCTGTTTCCTAAATACATAATGTCCATTCCATCCTACTATTCTCTTTGTGTTATGAATGCATTGGAAAAAGACCTGGTAAGATACTTAGAATTGTTGCTTAAATACTGTAATTACTTCTGCCCAGAACATAACAGCTTTAGAACATCATAAAAACATTGTTTTAATGAAGCATTAAAAAAGATATCAAACCCACTTTCCAGGGAGAGAAATTGGATCTTAAGTGTACATTTGGAACTAATCCAGTTTTGGGTCAAAAAATGTTCAATTTATTCTCCTTTATTAAATTTTGAATTTTGTACCTAATTTCAAGTATGAAACAAGAAAAGGTGCATCTTTTTATATTGTTAGTACACTAAAGTAAAGATTTCCCTGTCAGTCATGTCCAACTCTAGGGCACAGTGCTCATCTCCATCTTTGGCCGAGGCAGCCAGCATTGTATAAAGACCTTTTAGTTTGGATGATTTGGTTATTCCTCAATCTATTTAAATGTAGTTAGAATTAGTGAGTTTATTTCCTGGTAGTACCATTGTCAGCTTTTAAATAGATTGTAAAACAAATAGCATCATTCACACCACAGCCATATTTATTTATTTATTTATTTAATTTATTTATTTATTTATTTTTCTGTTTACATTGCTTTGTTTTGAGGTTAATCAAAAGGTAAAAATTAGTGTACAATATCTATTGCATTTTTTATATTTTATAACTTTTTTTACATGCTTGGGTTTTAAATACTCAACCCTGGGTATTTTGTGGCTTCCCTATGTACAGCTGCCTCCAATTGAATAAGAGATACAGGGTGGACTGACTCTTGTATATTACTTTGTATTTGTATTTTTGTATTTAATGGATTTATAGGCCGCCCAATCCCAGAGGACTTTACAGTTTTTAAGTCAGAGGAGGATTGCTGAAACATCTATCTGTTTAAACAATACATTTAAGGAAAACAGTAGAAAACTACAAGAAAAAACAGTATTGAGTTTGAGAAAGTATAGTTTAATTTTTGTTCTAATTTGGTTTGCTATGTGTGTAAGAAGAATAGCTGATTAGTCTGAGAGATGGTGAATTTCTTTGAGAGTCAGAATAATATTGAGAGAGGTGGCAATTTGAAAGAGGTAGTAATCAGTTTGTCATAAAAAAATCTAAGTGGTAAATAACAACAGACCAAGATTTATCAGACAAGGAAGCTGCCAATGGTTGTTGGCCATGATATATATGTAGCTTTCATAATCAGAATTAAGGTGCCTCTAAATCAGTGTTTTTCAACCNAACAATGATAATATTTTATACATATATATTAGATTAATAATATGAGATTTTATATAATTTGTAAGTGAGGACTATGGAGAGGATGCACAAAAGTTTTGTAACCAAAGATAAACAATTTTATAAAACATGGGACTCATCAATGGTTAGACAAAGAATTTTATAAAAATGTATTACTACTGGATGGATTTAGGATGCTGTAATTAAATGCCATAATATAAATTTACACAAAATTTAGAATATCTCACATAAAATGAAGTAATGATAGTTATAGTCAAATAAATGTTTAATAATGATAATAATTGTAAACATATATATCAGATTGATAATACAAGATTCTATATAAATTGTAGGTGGAGACTATGGTAAGAATGTACAAAAGTTTTGTAACTAATCAACACACTGTACGAAACTGGAAGATGGTTTTATGTTTTATGTTTGTCTGTACTTGTTTATTTAAAAATAAAAAAAATGTTTTTTTAAAAAAAGAATGATTGGAGCTCTGTTGTAGGGTACAATAACAGAATCTTGAAAACCTGTCAGAGTCCCCCCCCCCCGCTGGTTTGTATAACCATGTAGAAAAAATGCAGAGTCTCTTTCTTATGTTCCCCCCTTCTGTAAGACTATGTTGTCATTTACATTTTCTTTTATTATCTCTTAATGGTTCTGCAAGTGATTTTTGTATTCCTTCGTTAACTTTATCTCGCATTTCTCTACAATATCATTAATTTCATTATGTGATGCAATCAGTGCTTATGTCTGAAAAGAGCTCCATAAACTCATCGTAATATGTGACAAAGAAGCACTGCAAAGCATCTGAAAAAATGATTCTGAAGCATAGCGCTTTAATACATTTAATACTGAAATTTCATATGCTTAGAAATATTGTTTATTGAACTTGAGGCCATTCTTACTGCTAGTTTTTCATCTGTTTACATGCCAGGTTAGCTTTACCTTGAGGGCACAGTCCCCGAAGATACCGAGAAGTAGATTTTTATAGGTTAAAAATAGCACTTTGAAGTATATTTGCAAACCTATTGGTTTTCAGCAAGCTGCAATCATGTGATCACCAATTGTGATTTTTGCTAATGGCTTTTGACACCAGAAAAGTCACTCCCATAAATCACTTCCACTGCTTTTCCTCCGGATGGCTCCACTTGTAGCACACACATCCTCCTGCCCACACCCTGTAACAAGCACTTGTCCACACACTATAGTGTGGAACTGCCTACAGCACTCCACTGGTGGTGGTTAGCTCTTCCCAGCCTTCCCCATATCACCCACATTCCATTTCTTAAGTTGGACTCTTGCTTCTTCCTGTTTAAGAACTCACATAGTCGGTGAATTATGACGCAGCTGGAACTGCTAGGATTGCCATTGTTAACATTGCCCTTTATAACTACATCACTTAGCAACAGCAATCCCTGTCCTGACTGTTGTAACCTGAGGATTGGCTTTATAACTCCTTTTAATTGATTCTACTGTTTGTTGGAGCTTTTGTACTGACTGCTATGCAGAGAATTCTGTGTATTCTATGGTTCTATTTACTGTAGTTTATCCTTTATGTATGAGCTTGTTTTAACATACCCAGTTTATTTCTTTTCTAGTGTACCTGTAGAAAAGACATGGTGACAATATCAATGGACATCTTTGTGAGAAAATTTCAGCCAGATAGATACCAACTGTGGAAACAAGGAAAAGATTTATATAATATTGATCATACAAAACCCACCCCTGAAACCACACCTGAGGTAAAGGCCTGGTTGCAAAGAAGAAAGAAAACGAAGAGATGTTCCAGGTTGTAATAATATTTTCCCTCTATTTATAGTTAAACTTAAAATATATGCTTTCATATCTCAGTTATTGTTTTTAGAAGTCTTTTATTGTATTTTAGTCCTAGTTAATTTGTGTCTCATTAAATTTAACAGTGATTCTGAGAGCCAAAAAATCATATTTCATCATGGACATACTTATTGAATACATATATTGATTTTGAAAGCATTACTGAAAATGTAATGTTTGGAGGTCTGAGCATTAATATAATATTTAGACTTTTTTGAGGTGTTCTGAAAAAGTTGCCAAGAAAACTGCATAGACTTGTCCAGCAATCACCAGAATCAGGGCTAACTCCAAGGCATAAAAAAGAAAAAAACAGAAAATTTCCTAAACAATACTTTTTGCCAAACACACACACACACACACACACACACACACACACACACACACACAAGCACAAAATTATGTGATCAAATATTTTAATAAATAAGCATTATTTTTAACACCCAATATTTATTTTGATGTTTTCCCCAAGATAAAAATACATAGTTTTCTCTTCCACTTGCCTAATATTTTACAGTTTATGTATTTATATTAAATATGTTATCTAATATCCTTCACATATTCCAGACCAGCGATGGTGAACATTTTTTGGCTCGCGTGCCATAAGTGGGGGGAGCGCAGGGGGTCGTGCGTGGGCGTGCTGCACCCATAATGCATGCGTGACACCCCCAGCATGCATGCGTGCATAACAGGCACCCCCCCCATTTTTTGCATGCTTTCCCTCCTCTCCCCAGGCCAGAGGCTTTATAGGAGCCTGGGGAGGGTGAAAACAGCCTCCCCTCAACCCCGGAGGCCCTCTGGAGGCTTCAGGAGCTTCCCTGAAGCCTCCTGAGTGCAAGAAAACAGCCCTACGGGCAAACCGGAAGTTCAGGAACAGACTTCCAGTTTGCTCGTAGAGTCAGTTTAAGCCCTCCGGAGCCTTCAGGGGCCTGAGGGCTAAAAACAGTCTTACGACTTCCGGTTTGTCCATTGGGTTATTTTCTGTTCTCCGGAGCCTTCAGGGAAGCCTCCAGAAGGCCCCTGAAAGCTCTGGAGGGCTTAAACTGGCCCTATGAGCAAATTGGAAGTTCATTTCTGAAATTCCGGTTTGCCCGAAGGGCTGGTATTTTATGCTCCGGAGGCTTCAGGGAAGTTCCTGAAGTCTCCAGAGGGCCTCTGTGGGTGCGGGGAGGCTGTTTTCGCCCTCCCTAGGTTCCCCCCTCCTGGGGAGGGCGGAAAATGGCTTTAAAAAAAGGCTGAATTCAGCTGGTCAGTGCAGCACGCGCATGTGTGCTGGCCAGCTGACAGGGCAACATCTTGCGTGTCCCTGAGAAATGGCTCCGTGTGCCACCCGGTTCTAGACAATAGTTCCCATGCCAGTGCTGATGAAAGATCGGATAATTATGGTAACTAGAGATCAATACATCTGAACACTTAAAAACACTTAAAAAGGTAGAAAGCTTTAAGAGTAGTGTTATTTATGTAGTGTTGTCTATTTTTCTGTTAGGTCAAGATTTATAATTTACAGATATTAAAAATACTTCACAAATTGGCATCTGTGTTTATTCTAAAGTGTGATTGATGCTTTCAGATTTCTCTTTACAACCACACCAAAGTTTGAGAGGAGACAAAGAAATGCGCCATGTTAAAGTTTGCTGAAATTTCTCTTCTGTGAAATTTCTAGTAGTAATTACAAAAATGTTTAGTAAAATAGAGACTTTTTAAAATAAAAATAACACACACAAAAAATAT